ACGGTCAACTGAGTCAAGGGCTCTGGGTCAAGACTGATTGAGCGAAGGCCCACTGGTGGTTAATGAGGAGGTCTTTGATGACCCTGGTGACAGCTGTGTCAGAAGAGTAGCGATGGAGGCTGGGAGCCGGCAGAAAAGTGAGGGAGTCATGAAGGAATGGGAGGCAGTGTGTGTGTTACTTAAGAAATCCAGCAGTAGGGAGAACGAAACAGAATGGTAGCTGTAAAGGGCAGGAGGATGAAATAAAGGATTTCCCCGCCAAGAAAGGAAAGGCCTGTGTATATTTCATAGAAAGAAAAAAACTAATAGATGTATGCTTGTCTTGAGGGTCAGGATAATTATAGAGACAAGGTTCTAGAAGAGACAGGAAGGGAATGGGACTAGGAGCAAATACCAAGTTTGGCCTTAGAACAAAGGAAAGAGACAGACCTCTTCTGTGTTCTTGTCATTTCCTCCAACTCACATTCATGGCTTACATTTATTTGTACAGTGTGCAGCTAAACATCCACAGCTGTGCTCACAGCTGCTTTCAAGTTAGATCCTTCTTCACATTACTGTTTGTTGACCACGTGCCAGGCAATTATGTGTTATCTCATGAGATGTGCACAATTATCATTCCCATCTTACAGATGTGGAAACCAAGGTAAAAGATAATTCACTTGACCAAGGTCACCCAGCCGGTAAGTGGGAGAGCTGGGTTGGATGCCAGATAGTCCCATTCCAGTGCTCTTCTGTGCTGCTTCTAGAAATTTTAGAGTTGAAAATTGTTGCCTCTAGGGAGCAGGACTAGAGGGTAGAGAGCTGTGTGTGGGGTCTGCTGGGCTTTGTTATAAGCCGTTTAGTGACGTTTTTACTAGAGTAGGCTCTCCTTTAACAGACCTTTTTTTATTTTCATTTTTTTTACTTATTTATTTTTGGCTGTGTTGGGTCTTCGTTGCTGTGTGTGGGCTTCTCAGTGCGGTGGCTTCTCTTATTGCAGAGCACGGGCTCTGGGCACGTGGGCTTCAGTAGTTGTGGCACATAGGCTCAGTAGTTGTGGCTCACGGGCTTAGTTGCTCCGCGGCATGTGGGATCTTCCCGGACCAGGGATCGAACCCGTGTCCCCTGCATCGGCAGGCGGATTCTTAACCACTGCGCCACCAGGGAAGTCCCGGCAGGCAGCCCATTTTTTAAGTGAGGGGTAGAATCCACTGAGCCTGGCACGATCCCTGCTTTTTGCAGGCAGGCTCTTCCTTAACACGGTTCACACTTAAGTATAAACTGTTTGACCACCTGGCCAGCCTCATGTCTAGATGCTACCAGAAATAGCAGGCTTTCTATGACATGTTTTTGGGTTTTTTCTCTAATACAAAACGAAAAAAAAATCAAAAACTTGCACAAAGGAGTCTGCATTTTTTAATGATACAAATTCCCACTAACAAAAAGCAAAAGGAACTGGTATCAGTGCTGTGATAATGACTCAGCCTTCTCAGCGATGAAGGTGAGGTCACTGGCTAGAAGGGACAGGGTGAAAATGAGGGCGTGACCCTCTCCAAACCATCCCTCACACAGCAGCCAAGAGCCTTTTAGCATCCCTTGGGCCTGATCATGCCCCTCCTTCCTTCTTTGATGTTTCACGCCCTCAGGACAGAGTCCAGACTTGGGGTGGGAGTGGTGGGGTGGGCGGTGGGCGCTATATAAGACTATGAACCAACAAGGACCTACTGTAGAGCACAGGGAACTCTACTCAATAATACGTAACAACCTAAGTGGGAAAAGAGTTGGAAAAAGAATATATATATATATATATAAAACTGAATCACTTTGCTGCACACCTGAAACTATCACATTATTAATCAACTATACTCCAATATAAAATAAAAAGTTAAAAAAAAAAAAAGACTTTATGATCTGGCCCCATTTACCTCTCCAGACTAAAGGGCTATTGCTATCCTATACCACCCCCTCCACCATCCCCTACCCTAGCTACAGTTGCACTGATCTTAAATTGTGCTCTTTGCCTCCCTGGGACTTTGTACCAGCTGTTTCCCCTGCCTGAATTGTTTTTCCCTTCCCTTCTTCATCTGGCTAGTTCCCAGGCCTCCTCATTCAGGTTCATCGGTTTAGAAGTCACTGCCTCCAGGAAGTCTTCCTGACTTCCATACCTAGGTTATGAGCTTCCCCTGGGTGTTCCAATAGCACCCTGTTCCTTCCCCACAAAAAAACCACATTCCCCTGTATTCGTGCCTGTGTGTCTTCCCCTCCCACACTGATGCTGGGATGGCCCTGTGAAGTGCTTTAACCAACAGAGTGTGGGAGAAGTGGCCCTGAGCAGGTTCCAGGCCTAAGGCTGAAGAAGCCTGGCAGTTTCAGCTTTTGTACTTTTAGAAGCTCTGAGCCACTATTTAAAAGTTCAGCTACCCAGATGGAGAGGCCCTGGGACTACACGGAGAAAGAAAGAGGCCTAGTTGAGCCTTCATATGACTCCAGCCCCAGCTGCCATCTGACTGCCACCTCATGACAGACCCCAAGTGAGACCAGCAGAATTGCCCAGCTGAGCCCAGTCAGTTCACAGAACTGCAAGAGATAATAAAATGATTGTTTTAAGCCACTAAATTTTGGAGAGTTTGCTATGCTGCAATACATAACTAAAGGACCATTCTGGATTTCAATCGTCTACTGAATGTTTGTCCTGCTAGACTATTTTCTCCATGAAGGCAGGGACCATTCCATTCTTAAAAATTGTTATACACTCAGGACATTCCCCAGCACAGAATAAGCTCTCATATATTTGATGAATGCAAATTAAGAATGTCTACAAGGCGAAGCCAACAACAAATGTCTAGACCACTCACTGTGTTGAGTATACAATGGCATCAACAAAAGGTGACTAACTGGACATCTGGGCAGTAAGTTCCCGATGTAAGACAGCTTACCTTTGTAGAGGGACAGAGTCAGATTGACTTTGGGCCGCAAGCCAACAACACAGAACAACGTTGGGAGCAGAAGAGAATGGCTAATGGTTCGGGCCTGCAAGTTCGGAAGCTAAAGGCAAGGGAACAAAGTTGTTATCCCCGATGGTGCTCCTCTGCGCAGCACTGAACAGGTGATCTGGTGTGTCAGTCAGTGAGGACTCCAGCTGCTCTAGCCAAGTACCCCCTCACTCAAATGGTCTGTTAGCATTCACAGGCTTCTAGGGACAAGAGACATCAAAATGCCATTTTACACATAGGAACAGACATCATCGTCAAAAATTTTTAACGCGCTTTAAACATGGAGGGCCTTCAATGTATGCGGAATGAATACATTTCTGCTCAAATCGGTAAATCCCAGGATTGAGGTCTGGTGGTCTTGTCTGTAATAATCATCAGCACAAAGTGTCCAGTCAAGTCAACGTGTATTGTTTGAGTATCTTCTGTGTCAAGCCTTACGTGGCATGCAAAATGGGAAAATGCCATCCCTGCCCTGAGGGAGAGAACTGGGGAGACTAGACTTACACAAATGAGATAATTAAATAACAGGACAACATATAATTACTGCTAAATTGTGTGGTAAGAAATTAAGTGCTACAGGAATTGGGAAACGTGGAGAGCAGTGAGGGCTCAAACAGTTGGGAAATGCTGGGAGGTGGAAGAGCTGAACCAGCATGCTTGTTATTTTATTTTGACACAATAACACAAGGAATGTGAAAGGTGGCTGCCCCAAATCCCAAAGCCAAGGGTATTTCTGAAGTTTCCCAATATTCACATTTCTGGGCCTTTGTTTATTGCTTCTTCTGCTTGCAATACCTTCCTCCCTTCTCCACCTGGTAAATTCTTACTCAAATTTAAAGGTCCAACTCAAATGCAACTACTTTTCTGAATCCTTCCATGGTATCCCATAACCCAGTGCTCTTGCTTCTCCTGGAACATATCTATGCCTTTTGCGTACTCACCTCCTCTACCACTGCCATTAATAGCAACTTACATTCGTTAGGCTCTTACTATGTGCCGGGAACTATGCTAAACAGTTTAAATGTGTTGTTTAAGCCTCACAACAATTGCATGACGTATCCGTTTTCCTATTTTATAGATCAAGAACCTGAGGCTTAAAGTGGTTAAGTAAACTGACCAAGAATACATAACAGGAAGTAAGAAACCATTCAAACCATTTGTGGGACTCCAGAGGCCACTCTTAAAACACTGGACCATGTCTTCCTGGAGGCTGCAAATGCTGGGATTCAAACCGTTTGTGGGACTCCAGAGGCCACTCTTAAAACACTGGATCATGTCTTCCTGGAGGCTACAAATGCTCTTTACTCCTTGGTCTTCTCAGATTCTAGGATGCTGGCTGACATATGGCTCAAAAATTGCTGAACAAATTAATACCACTGTCATACACATGCCTGGGTCTAAAAGTAGGTACCTCCAGTACTCTTTTACCCCAGATAGAGACTTCCATCAAACCAGAAGTCACTACCTGGGAGAAAGGAGGAGGGAGAAAGTGTAAGCAACTTATATTTGATTTTGAGCTCCTTTATTTCACGGATTCAGGTGTGGGAAAAGAGGACCGAGTCTTTGCCCAACAAAAGAATACACAGATAACTCTGGCTGGGTCTGAAAATGAGAGCTCTGATTAACAGGCGTGGGGGCGGGGAAGGGGCCAGTATCCTCTTTGGTATTTTGAAAGCAGCAATTCAAGTTGTTCTTGTCAAATCAGGAAGGACCAGTCGAGTTCACTCCATCTGACCCTATTACTGGGCAGACGGAGGCCCAGACAAGGGAAGGGCTCGGCCCGAGGCTACATGGTGAGACAAAGCTGGAGCCAGAGCTGGATCCCCCCGAATCGGAACCCCACTCGCAGTTTTTATCGCCTACCCGGTCGGGCAACTCCAAGCAGATGGCCTTGGGCGGAAAGCTCGTACTACTGGTTTCTTCCGTCGGACCCTAAGGTTCCTCTTCTCCACCCACTGGGCCTGGTGTCTCCCACCTCCTCTAGCATCGGGGCCTGGGGAAGATTGTTGCCCCTCGAGTCTCCACGGTGTCTGCAAGGTCGTCTGGGACCACCGAGGCCGCTCTCGCCCCGCTTCTCAATGGTCCTTCTTCTGAGGCGGTTCAGCTTCGCCCCCTGCGACCCTCCTCCTCTGCACGACCACCCCCCCCATTCTTATGCCGGCAGCAAATGACACCTCTTCCACCGGAGGCCAGGCCCACATCCCCGTGCCCTTGTTGAAGTTCACCTCCCCGCTAGCCCCAGTACGCCTACACCTCCCACTTCCTTTCGCTGAGCGCCGTCCTTCCGGCTGGGCCCCCTTCTAATTGGCTGGCGGTGAGCTTCCTTGGGGACTCGGCCACTCCGAGGGCGCCACACAGGCCACTCTAGCCGCCGTCCCGGACTTTGGCCGCGCTCTTTCGGCTGCGAGCTCTATGGTGTTGGCGACGACATGTGGCGGCTCCCGGGACTCCTGGGCCGAGGTAAGGGCCTTCGGCCGCGGGTCTTGCGGCAGCTGAGACTCGGAACTGAGGAGGGGGCGGGCCGGAGGACTGAGCCAAAGCAATAGTGGGCGGTGTTAGAGCGGAAGAGAGGCGGGGTCGTTAGGGGCCGCGCTGCACTCTGAGTCAAGGGGCCGTTCGAATTTGAGGTGTGGGCGTGGCTAGTAGGAAGAGGGTGGAACTTAGAGCCAAGGAGATGGGTGGAGCCATTGGAAGGGGGAGGAGCCAAGTACCCGGAGATGGTGGGCGGAGTTCATGAAAGAGGAGTAGAGGCCAGTGCAGTAGGCGGGGCCAACGGGGTAGGCGGAGCCAATGAAAAGAGGCGCGATTTAGAGACAAAGAGCTACAAACATTGAGCGAGAGTTTGTGTATGAATGTCTGGTCATTTTAGAACAGTGGTTGTCAGCCCTAGGAGGGCGTCAGAATCACCCGGGGAGCTTTTTCAAAATATTGATGCTCAACCCTGAATGATCCTAGTTTATTTGGCTCTGGGGTGGCACGCTGGAATCTGTACTAAGCAAAAGATCCCCACGTGGATGTATCCTTGTTTAAGAACCTCTGCAGACGCAGGTGCCAGTGTTTCCTGGGTTCCTGGCGTGGGGCTCTGTCAAGGGTCAGAGGGAAGATTGGTGGGGCCACTGTTGCCTCAGTCCCGCTCATATCAAAGTGACTGATCCTTGCTCTGCACAGCTCTTCCCCGTCTGCTGGGACCTGGCCTCCGTGGGGTGACCTCCAAGTCCACCAGCCCAGATGGGCCTCAGGCTACCTCCTCCAACCTGCTGGTCCCTGTGCCCAGTTTCGACAGGTGAAAGACTGCCATTCCGTCACCCATGTGCTCCCCTAGCCTCCCTCTACTCCCACTTAGGACAGAACTTGATAGCCTCTGTTACATCTTACATCTTCTAGGTCTGGCCACCATGGCCCAGGCACAAGCAAGGGCCCAAGGTCCCATGGATGGAAGGCTGCCTTCCAGTGGATGTCTGCCCGTGACTCCCGGAACACATTGTGGGATGCCATATCATGGGTAAGGTTTCCCCAGTCCTGTCCTTGTCCTTCAGTGTGGATGAGAATGATCCTGTATGGAAGTATAGCCTAGAAACAAGAGCTAGGGCGTCATCGTGGCCACACTCAAAATTTGAGTAACTCATGGCATTGGAGCATATTTGGGGAGATATTGCTACTCCCTTTCCCCCTGCTGCCCATGTATATATTCCTCCTTTCATTTAGTAAACATTTATTTAACACTTTCTTTGAGCCAGGCATTTTTTGCTAAGTACTAGGGACATAGCAGAGAACAAGGTAGATATGACTCTTGCCTTCCTGAATCTTATAATTAACTAATACTAAATAGCTAACTTTTAATTTATTAATGTATCTATATATATCATCTTATTTAATCCTTACGAAATCTTGCAGAGGAAATATAATCTTTATTTTATAGATGAGAAAACTCAGGCTCTGAAACTTTAGGTAACACTTTTAAGGTCACACAGCTATTCAGTAGAGGAACCAGACTTTACTCTGGAGCTCGTGCTCTTAGCTACTATGCTCTACAGCTTGGTTGCTATACCTAGTATGGCTTGTAAAAGCACATAGTACATATCCTGACCCATGATCGTCGCTCAGTAAATATTTGTTAAATCTGATCTATAAAGGCAGAGGCTCAGTAACACGAGGTCTAACAAGGCAGACTCTTTGCCTCTTAGGTTCTGCTTATAAGATATTCTAAATGAAGTTGGCACTCACGTCACACTTGTCTCCATCACTTCTCATCCCTCTCACTTTTATGCTGCATACTTTGGGCAAGTGGCTTGACCTCTCTGAGCCTCAGTTGTCTCATCTGTAACTTGGTGTCATCAGCAGAGCTGAGACTGGAATGTGTCCATGCCAGGGACACTTCTCTCTGGGGAGCTATGGCCTAGGGGCATAACACACCCTGGGGAGGGATGTGTTTTCCCATTTTGTCGAAGATACGAACCCTAGGGCAATCCTATAGTGAGTGCTTCTAAAACTGGGTCTGCATCTCAGGGGTCCTGATGCCATCCCTCAGCTCTGTCACTACTGCCTATGTGAAAGGGCCTGAGCACAAGCTTATCTCCAGTGATATGGATACGTGTCCCTGTTATCAACATTGCTGGGACCTTCTTTTCCTTCAGGTCTCAGCACACACATCACTTCTACAGACAGGCTTTCCTCTACTCCTGTCTTGTCAGGAGTCCCTCTTATGCCCTGTGTAAACTCTTGATTTGTTTCCTTAGCGGCATTTGGCATAATTTGTAGTTATTATGTTATTTCTCTGTGTACTTGGATGTCGTCTTTCTCCCTCAGTGAAGGTATGAACTCCATGAGGGCAGAGAACTGGGTCTGTCTTGTTTGCCATTGTATACAGTGCCTGTTGCAACAAATAAGTATTTGGGTGTCTTTTCTCGTGCATAACACAGGAAGGGACAGGGAAAACCAAGCAGTCACTGGGCTAGGAGCTAGCTTAGGTCTTCTGCAGACCTGTTGGAGAAGAGACACCCACGACAAGCAAGTAGCTGTGAATGTGTGTGGTGGGGTGGCTTTGGGGTGGGTGAGGAGTTGTGCCAGGCTAGAGAAGGAGGGAGCCTGATGGGGAACTCTGACCCGTCTGCATTTGGCTGCACGTGTGCCCAAGCCCAAACTTGCCGTGTTATCTTTTTGCCTGCTTAGATTTTGTTTATTCAGTCACTCGCTCAGGCGTTTATTCAGCATGTATTTATTAGTGCTGTATCTTAGTGCTCTGCTAGGCGCTGGGGATACATAGGTGAGCAAAACAGACATGGTTCCTCCCTCGTGGTGCTTAGAGACTAACAGGAGAGACAGACCTTGATGAGTAATTGTAGAGATGGCTGTTTAAGTACCAGTGTGATCAGGGCTCCATGGGGGAAGTTCGGGTGCTTACGATAGTGCGCAGTGGGGGAGCGGCTACAGCCAGGAGTCAGGAAGGACTTCTCGAGGAAGTGATGTTGGAGATGTAGGCGGAGACTGAAGGAGCTGACTGGTGGAGAACTGTGTCCCCTGAAGTGCTGTCTTCCTCAGGGCACCCTGGCCGTGCTGGCCCTGCAGCTGGCAAGGCAGATCCACTTCCAGGCGTCCCTGCCAGCAGGACCTCGGCGAGCGGAGCGCTGCTTTTGGCGCAGTCCTCTGGACCGTTTCCTCTCATCTCCCTTGAGGCACCCGCGCTCCTGTGAGTTCTCAGTCCCGGGGACAGGAGAGCTGGGCTGGGAGTTTCTCTGAGCCAGGAAGCATCTCTGGACACACCTCAGGAAAAGAGTCAGCAGCTCCTTGCCTCTCCTATCTGCAGTCAGAGGAAGAGGAATGGGAGGAAGGTCTGTCCACCCGGCGTGTGGGCCACGCCTGTCCTCCAGGCCCCTCCCATGTCCTCCCCTCCCCTTCCATTGACAGAGCCCCGCAGGGGTCCAGGTCATTTTAGATCCTAGGAGTGGCTTCCTGCCCACTCCTCAGCCAGTTAGGTCATTCTCTGGTCAGTCATTCATCAATAAGTGAATCTTTATTGAATGGCTATCATGTGCCATGGTACAGAGGCAATGCAGCACAGTGATTAAGGCTCTGGAGTCACACTGTCACGGTTCAAGCCCAGAACTGCTGATACTAGTTTGGTGTCCCTGGATGAGTCACTTTTAACTTCCCTGTGCCTCAGTGTCTTCACCTATAGAATGGGGAAATAATAAAACCCACCCCCACAGGTTTCTTGGAAGGACTAAACGAGTTAATACATGTCGAGGACTTAGAACAGTGCCTGGCATGTAGTATGTGCTCAGTAAGTAGCGGTTTAAGTTCTTGCCCTTAGTATTATGATTATAATCATAATCAATATTAACCATCAAACTAAGTGCTAAGTGCTGGGGCTAGAACAGTGAATAAAGTGGATCCCTCCCTGCGACTGGAAGAATTCAAGCCAAGGAGCGATTTATGCTTGGGGTGTGGGGATCAGCATAAATGCGGGCCCCTCTCCACCCCTGCGGAGGGAAGCCAGCCAAGGAAATGGAGGAGGAGGCATGTGAAGGACATGTCTCAGGAGTTTCTAGATTCTTCCTTTGGTCCGCGAAGCCTCAGGGAGGGCTCAGTCAGCCCCAGCAGGCTGAACCTATCCCCTTCTGATGTGACTGCTCTCACTGGCTCTTCCCAGCACTGCGGAGACACATTCTGCCCAGCCCTGATAGCCCGGCTCCCAGGCACACTGGCCTCAGGGAACTCAGGCTGGGCCAGGAAGAACCCTCCACTCGGCCTGAGAGCCTCTCTTCACCCAGCTCCTTGAGAACAACTGGTCTTCAGGGTGCCTCTGAGGAAGGTATGGTCCCACCTCCTAAAATCAGCAGAAGGCGGTGGCGGGGTGGGGAGTTGGGCAGATGGACATTTGTTGCTGCATATGCCACATTGGGGAATTGTCATTCCTGTGAGCCCCCATGCTTTCTGGGGCAATTTGGAATGATTTTGGTTCCTGGCAGTGGTGCTGGATGGAGGGCTCTGTGGACTGGGGGAGTGAGAGAAAAGGAGAACTAACACCTTCCTCCTTTGCCTTTTCCCTTGCAGATCCCAGTGACGCCGGCTTCCCGCATGCCAGCAGTAGCTTCAAGTCCAAGGCAAAGCCAGCCCAGCCTCAGCCCACTGGCGAAAAGCAGGTATTGTCCAGATTTGGCCACCTGGATCCCCGTAACATTCCCCTAGACAGGTGGCAATCCCAGTGAACTGTCCCATGATGAGTCTTTATATTTCTTCCCCAGGAACAAGATAAATCAAAAAGTGTTTCCCTCGAGGAGGCCATGACTTCCATTCAGCAGCTCTTCCAGCTCAGTGTTTCCATCGCTTTCAACTTCTTGGGTAACTGGGTGGACCCTGTCTCAAGGAGGGTGGATGGGAAAATGGAAAGGGTATGCGGTAGGTCAAGTAGAGTCAGGGCAGGGAGTGGTTTACATAAGAGAGAGTTTCTTTTCTCCCAGGTAGGTCGACCAAATCTGGCCTGGTGGCACAGTGGTGTCAGGGACCTATTCTCAGTCAGATGGTTCTGCCCTTCTTAAAATGGGCTCCCATCTCAAGGTTCAGTTTGCCTCATATCCAAATTCTAGCTAGCTAGAAGGGAAAGGTGGGAAAACTAAAGGACCACTCCTCCCCAACCTAAAAGTTACACAAATCATTGTCCAGAATGAAGGCTCACGGCCTTACCTAGTCACAGAGGAGCCTGGAAAATAGAGTCCTTAGCTGAATGACCATGTGCTTACCTGAAAATTCGGTTACTGTGTCAGAAGGAGAAAATAAATCTCGAATGACACCTTGAATTTTCTGCCGCACTTAGGCAAGAACAGGCTCCTGAGATTTGGAGCAGGCCCTCAAGTGCCCTTCCTTACCCACATCTGGAGACTCCAGATTCCTCTCCACCATTTGTCCTCTTCTCTGCAGTGACTTGGCTTCTTTCAGGCCTTCTCATGTAGAGACCCAGACTGCCAGCAGCATCTCCTGGACTCTAGTGGGAAAGTGAATGAGAGGCTAGGATTCATTCAGTACAAATGTATTAAGCATTCACCTTTGGTTAGGGCTTAGTTTAGGTGTTGGGGGTACAGTGATTCACAAGACAAAGTCCTTACTCTCATGGAGCTTCCACGTGAGTTGAGGGAGAGAAAAACAGCAAACCGGTAAACAAATAAAAAAGGGAATTTCAGGGCTTCCCTGATGGCGCAGTGGTTGAGAGCCCGCCTGCTGATGCAGGGGACAGGGGTTTGTGCCCTGGTCCGGGAAGATCCCACATGCCGCGGAGCCATGGCCTCTGAGCCTGTGCATCCGGAGCCTGTGCTCTGCAACGGGAGAGGCCACAACAGTGAGAGGCCCGCATACTGCAAAAAAAAAACCCCAAAAAACAAAGAGTATTTCAGATAGTGATAAATGTTATGGAGAAAATTAAACAGGGGGATGCATTAGTGACTTGGGCAAGGAGCAGCTCTGATTTGGAAGGCCTCGCGGATGGAAAGATCCTTGACCAGACTGACAAAAACAAGCCAGTCTTGTTTCCATCTGGAGAAAGCTTTCCAAGTAAAGGGAACAGCAAGTGCAAAGGTCCTGAGGCAGGATTGAGTTTTGTTTGTTAAAGGAACAAAGAAAAGGATGAGTGTGGTTGTAGTTTAGCAATCACCAGGAGGGTAGAAAGAGATGAAGTCAGAGAAGCAGGCAGGGGCCAGATCAGATCAGGGCTTCTGAGCCGTGGTGGCGTATGGTGCTTCTGAGCGAGCCAGGAAGCCATTGGAGTGTTTTACGCTGGAGCAGGAAGTGGGGGTAGTCATGTGATCTGATTTACTTTTCCAAAGATCTCTCTGCCTGCTGTGTAGACAGACGCAGGTCATAGGAATGCCAGAGGGGAAACAGGAGACTAGATTGGAGCTGTTACTGATGGCTAAGCAAAACATGATGGTGACTTGGTTTAGGTTAGAGGCAGAGGATCTGGTGTGGGGGATGGGGACAGGGTGGGATCCTGTGCCCTCTCGAGTCTTCTCCTCAAGAACAGAGGGCTCTGTGAACCCTTGACAGTGAGTTTTCAGGCAGCCAGGAGGTGACTCATTCACTGCTGGCCGAATGGAGCCCGGCTTCTGCCTCATTGGCTTTTTGTGATTTTTTCATGGGCAGACAGTCTTCCGCGAATTTTCTTGCCCATTCCTTCCTTCATATGCATATTCATTTATTCAGCAAGTGCTAAGCACTGTGGCAGAACACAAAGGGAGCATAAGCCATAATCATATTTTGCATTTGTATAGAGCTTTCACCCTATGCAAAGTTATTTCTTCTACATTCTTTTTCTGCTTCTGCCTCCAGGATTTTACAGTCTAATTGAGGAGACAGGGCTTGTACTCTTGAAACAGTTCAGTTCCTAGAAAAAGGCTTGTGTGTGAAGTAAGTGCCGAAAGAGTGTTTAAAGCCTGAGTGTGGTCTGAAGATTCTAGAGCAGAAACAGGTTGGGAAGGTCTGATGATAGAGGCAGAAAAAGGTATCCCAGGCAGGAGAAACAGCTTGAGCAAAGGCTTAGGGTTGAGAGTAGGCTGTGCTCAGCCCCTTCCCTGTTTTCCTTTTCGTTTGGATGATAAAGAGAACATGGGCTTTGGAGCTGGGCTCTCTTTCTTGTATTCTCTCACAGTGTCCTCATAAAGCAAGATTGACAGTGTCAGCTGAATCAGTTATGTTATGTTGGTTACAAGCAGCCTAAAACCACTTTGGCTAACCTAAGCACAAAAGGAATCTGTTGGGGTCTATCGACTTGCCAAGCCTCAGAAAGGACAGGAATCAGAGAGGCTCCAGGGATGCATGCGGCAGTAACTGAGAAACAGCGTCTTCAGAGTGCTGCCATCAGAATAAACCTGCGGAAGCTGTTTTCTTTCCTGTTGCAGCCAGATCAAGATTCAGATTCCTGAGAGAGGGTCTCATTGGTTGGGAAGAGGGCAGGCACATTGATTGACAGCACTGGGGGGAGGGCTGTTCCCAAAGGGAAATTAGGATGTTGTTACCAAGAGGAGGATGGTGTACAGGAGGGCAGAACCCACTGATACCTATGGCATACCAGTGAAATATTCAGAGGATGGAAGTGCATGCGAAGTGTCTAAAAAAAAAAAGGAAAAGAAAGGAAGGAGCATGTGGGTATCTGACTAAGAATGTGGGGAAGTTCACAGAGGAAGCTATGTTTACGCCTAGTTCTTTCTTACAGGGACAGAGAACATGAGGGATGGAGACTACATGGCAGCCTTTTCTTACTTCCAGAAAGCAGCAGACCGTGGCTACAGCAAAGCGCAGTACAATGTGGGCTTGTGTCACGAGCACGGCAGAGGCACCCCCAGGGACCTCGGCAAGGTACTACACTTCCTCCCTGCCCCCAGGCCCATGGCCTGTGCTGCACCGCCCAGAGTGACCTCCAGAAATGAGCAGTGGGCAGGGCTTGGGAAAGTCCAGCTTCTCTCTTCCAGCCCCGAGGGAAAACTAAGAAAGAAGTCTCCAGCTTCTAGGAATTTAGACTCAAAACACAGGAAGGCCGGGGACCTTTTCTTTCTTCTTTGCAGCTGTATCCTCACGACCTAGAACGTTACCTTGATGAATGGATCAATTAATTCTAAAAAGTAGGATAAGTATGCATAGATGTTATATATAAGAATTTATATATAACAGTTTCTTAGAATTGTATACGATGGCCAAAAAATGGGAAGAAACTTGAAGTTCCTTCAACAGAGAATTGGTTAATAACATCTATGTGGGCCTTAAAAATGATATGCTAGATCTATATTTATTTTCAGGGAAAGATATTCATGGTGTATTGTTAAATGAAAAAGCATAGGTTACAAAATAGGTTACAAAAAATAGTGAGTGTAGTTTTCTCTCTCTCCCTTTCTTCCTACACACACACACATACACACACACATTTATATATGTGTGTGAGTGTATATTAACATATTTGTGTATATATGTTAATACATACAGTACCGGGGGGGGGAAGAAATTTGCAAGATTGTACACTAAAATGTTAACAGAGAATGATCTTTAGGAGGCAGGATTTCTTGGAATTTTGTTTCTATTTTTGGCTTCTCTGTATTTTCTGACTAATCTATAATGATTATGTGTTATTTAATTAAACACTTCACTCCATAAAAAGGCAGCGTACAGAGTTATCAGTTGACTGGATGTTTTTCCCTTTGCCCCAGGCAGCCTCTTACTACCAGCTGGCTGCCAGCCAGGGCCACAACCTGGCTCAGTACCGCTATGCCAGGTGCCTGCTGCAGGATCCAGCCTCCTCGTGGGACCCTGAGCAGCAGAGGGCAGTGTCCATGCTGAAGCATGCTGCAGACTCAGGCTTGAGAGAGGTGAGTGCCATTGGTGGGGTCACTCCTGGGCACTTGGGGCAGGTGGGGCCTGGCAGTGACTAAGATACCTTTTTCCTTCCTCCTTGACCACAGGCCCAAGCTTTTCTCGGGGTGCTCTTCACCAAGGAGGCATACCTGGACGAGCAGAGAGCTGTGAAATATCTTTGGCTTGCAGCCAACAGTGGGGTATGAGGTGTCCATATCCAGGCATGATGGGCATCAAGTCTGATAAAGGAAGGGATTTTGGAACTGGTACCGTGCCTAGGAGACGGTTGATAAGAGCATTGGGCTGGCTTCAAGCCTTAACTCTTGCTGACTTACTGTGTGCCCCTTGGACAGGTCCAGTGGTGTGCTGGCACTGGCTTGTATCAGCCTGCGAGAATTGTTAGCTTGAAATCAGCTTCAGGGAGAGCATTAGCATTAGAATTGCCAAATGCTACAAAACAGGGCTTTTTCCCCTGGAGAGCTGGTTGTTAAACATTTACTAGCATACTACTGGGCTGGTCACTTCTTGTCTTCCTCATCTCTAAGATTGGGATACTAATGCCTGCCTGACCTGTCTACCACTTCACAGGGTTGTCGTGAGGATCAAAATCTGAGATAATAAGTGTGAAAGTGCTTTGTAAAGTGTACACGTGGAAGGTGCATCGTCACAAGTGGCTTAGTCCAGGGAAGTCAGAAGACGCGTGAGGTGAAGACATTGAGCAGTTTGGCGGGGTAGAGGATGTCTGGTTGTCTGTCACCTAGGGGTTGGCATCCAGGCAGCATGGAGTTTGTTCCACAGAGCATTAGTTCCATGGAACGTTTATAAATCATACGAGGGAAAAATGGTCAGATGGGTTTGGGCAATACTTTGTTAAACAGGTATCTTTAATGCAGGAAATCTCAGAGCTTTATGTCACTGTGAATTACTGAAAAGGCATCTGTGGGTTTGCTGTATCCTCAAGTGTCTTTGACCAGTATATTTTTTGAGTTGTATCTTAAAGGACCAGGAGCGCTGGGTTAAAGCCAGCAGTGGCCATGCACTAGAATTTCCCAGCATAGGGGCTGCTGCTTCTCTTTACTTCCTGGCCAACACAGTGATAGCGTTATTGAACTCTTGGGCATCAGAATACTTCTCCTTTTTCACTCTGTGTTGTCCAAAGTATCTGCAGTAGCCATCAAAATGGGACCAATGTCATCAAACAGTACCTGCCTCTGTGCCTGTCTTTCTATGAAAGAGCCCCAGAGTCTTCCTTGGGCTCAGTGGGTTGTGTGACCATGTGTGGGACAAGCCTGGGGGCACCCTGGCTGGCATTAGTCACCCAGCACGCCAGGAGAAGTGCACAAAGGGATGTTGTGTAACATACACATAACAGCATGGGTGTTTTGGCCTAACTGTCCTAAGCTGGTCTGTAGCCATGAGTCCACCATATTTATTACATAGACTTTGACCTACATGTTACAGAAACTCTTTAGAGGGTAGAAGAGAAATAGAATCATGGTTGGGAGATTGAATATAATGAAAATATTCATTACAGAGAGGGAGAGATGAATGATGTGGGCAACTAAAGGTGTGAAAATAATAACACTAATCTAAGCACTTTCCACATATTGACACATTTAATCCTCACGACAGGGTAATAAGGTAGGTGCTCTTATCATGCCTACTTTACAGATGAGGAAACTGAGGCACAGAGACACAGAATATGATGCCCGAGGTTACACAATTGGTAAGTGGTGGAGCCAAGATTGGAACCCAGGCGTCTGGCTGGAGAGACTGGGCTCCTACTCCCTACCTGATACTGCCTCTCCCAGGAGCCTAATTCTCAGTGAGAGGGGAGAGAGGATCCAGAGCCAGGGACAAAGAGATTAAACATGTTCTCTGTAATGTATGCTTTGTAGCTCTCTGGGTGGAGATCAGGAAGGCATTCAGGGCCTTCGGAAGCCCAGCCTCCACCCTTACTCCTGGCTCTTTCAGGATAACATAGGAGCCCGACTCCCTGGGCTCCCAGAGCAGGGCCAAGTGCTTCCCGCAGCCTTCACTTCTGCACACTTTCAGCACCATCCTCAACACGAGAAGCCTCCACGCTGCTCTGGCCGGAAGCTCCCTGGGTGGAGGGATCCCTGTGTCCTCTGTTCTGGGCCTCTGGCTCTTCACAGCTGAGATCCCTTGGTCCAGGGAGGGTTGCAGCTGGGCCTGACCCTGCAGGGGTGAAGCACCGGCCTGCTGACTGCTGCACCTTTCTCCTGCCCCAGTGTTTCAGTTCTTCAGTCCTGCATGTGTGGGCATTTGTGTGTCTGTCCGTCTTCTCCTTTAGGATTCACAGAGCAGGTACCACTTGGGAATTTGCTATGAGAAGGGCCTTGGTGTGCAGAGGAATCTGGGGGAGGCTGTGAGATGCTACCAGCAGTCAGCAGCTCTGGGGAATGCACCTGCCCAGGAGAGGCTGCGGACCCTCTTTTCCATGGAGGCAGCAGGTACAGATGAGAGTCAAAGCCAGCAGGTGCCTCCCCGAGCTCAGTACCCTATGACGGAGAAGGGGGTGGCAGTAGCCTTTGGTGTCTTTGTTACTTCTGCTCCATTGGTGGGAACGAGCACAGCTTTTTGAGTCAGACAAATCAAACCTGAGTTTTAACCCCTGCTCCATTCCTGAACTTGGCCTGTATGTCTTTGCACCTCTGTTTCTTCACCTCTGAAAACTCATTAGATTGTAAAGATTAAATGAGATGGGACTTCCGTGGTGGCGCAGTGGTTAAGCATCTGCCTGCCAATGCAGGGGACACGGGTTTGAGCCCTGGTCCGGGAAGATCCCACATGCCGCGGAGCAACAAAGCCCGTGCGCCACAACTACCGAGCCTGTGCTCTAGAGCCCACGAGCCACAACTACTGAGCCCACGTGCCTAGAGCCCGTGCTCCACAACAAGAGAAGCCACCGCACTGAGATTAAATGAGATGACAGCAAAGGGCTTAGCACAGCCTGGCACACAGTAGGTGTTGAATAAATGGTAGTCACTCCAATGACTTGTCAGGAGACACACCATCCCAAGGCTGCCTCTGTGCCCTGACTTACCATCTAGGGCTCTGAGAGCCCTGCTCACTCCTGACTCATTCGGGCTGACCTGGGTTAGTAGTGCCAGGGGAACCAAGTCCTTTAAGAAGCCCCTGCTCCAAAGTAGGAGTCTAAGAACACAGCCTGAGTAAGAGTTGCTCTTGCCTCTCCTCACAGCCCCGGGGCCCAGCGACCTGGCAGTGAGAGGATTGAAGTCGTTTTCCAGCCCCTCCCTCTGCAGCCTGAACACCTTGCTGGCAGGAGCCTCGCACCTGCCACATGCCTCGAGCACAGGGAACCTTGGCCTCCTCTATAGAAGCACTCGTCTCAGAGCCAGCCCCGGATCCCCCAGCAGGGCTGTTCTCCCACACCCCTACCCCTTGGAAAGGAGTCTCGTCAGACTGGGTTTTGGCTAAGGTGAGATAAAATGCAGTCACCGGTACCTCTCACTGGTGCTGGGGGGAGGGGCAGGCAGGGAGGAGATGGGATGCAGCAAAAAAAAACAGGGTGTCAGTATCCCTTTACAGGGTAGAAATTCCATGGGGGCTCAGGTTCCCAAGCAATTTCAAGTGCATGGCTAATAAACGACTTTGACCATTTCCCCTAGTTGGTAGCCTCAGCCTCACAAACGGGCAGTGGACACATTCATTTTTGGCCATGCCACACGGCTTGTGAGGATCTTAGTTCCCCAACCAGGGATTGAACCCGCGGCCTCAGTAGTGAAAGTGCCGAGCCCTAACCACTGGACTGCCAGGGAATTCCCCATTCACAGTCATTTCTGTTCTGTGCATAAAAAAGATTCGTTCAGTGACCTGTGAAAAACTTTACTGAAGGGTCCAGGGACCCTGGTCCTCGCCTTAGCCTTTGCCTTGGCGCAAATCCCTTCCCGTCCCCCTTGCCAGTCTTCGATTTCCTCAGGCTTAGACCACATCATTCTTTGCCAGCGTCTGATGTGTGTGCCTCCAGTGCTTCACCAGAGGATTTTAGGTAGTATTCAAACTAATACTTTTAAATTTTAGTGTTTGTATATTAATATATATTATAAAAATGCGATTAGCATGTCATAGTGTCACAGATATTAAAAATAATGAATCAAGTAGAGAAAAAAACGTTGTGACATTGCGTAAAGGGGAGCACAGATCCAGAGAGGTGGCAGAAGTCATGGGGTGGTTTCATGAATGCCTAAAACTCAGGAAACGCTGAATGACGTCCGCTTTTGTTCATCCCCAATGGATTTCCGACTGTCTCCATTTCACCTCTGATTTGGAAGGAAGGAGTTTAGTGTCTAAATGCCTGATGTAGCTGCTTGACTTTTTCAGACCTTCGCACTTCACTCAGCCCTAGAGATGGAGCCTGCGAGTTCTCAGAGAGATACCACAACTTGAATCCCAGAGAAGAGGCCAGATGTTCACCCGCCTTCCCAAAGAACCTTAAGTACCTGCCCAGCACAGTACAGAAGAAGGAAGTGTGTAAAGATCCAGGTTCTGGCCACGTCACCTTGAAGCAGTGGCCTGACTTGCTGTGTTGTTTCCTCAATTGTAGACCAAGGGCAGCGGTGTCTGCCCTCCTACCCTCCAGGGCTGATGTAGGGCATTTCACTGCGGAAAGGACGTTGGTGCTCACTTAGGCCTGAGGAGGCAGAGTGATGCCCATGGTTACCTGGCTTTATGAGTCACCAGCCCAGGACAAGGACCCCAGCCTCCCAACTCCTGGCCCAGGGCTCTTTTTTGCACAGTTCTCACTGTAATTTTAGGTGAAAGCGTTACTATCGTCCTGCCGATACGAGGGGGTAAATGGCAATTGGGCCCTTGGAGTCTTGGAGCACGAGAGTATAGATTTTGAGATCCTCTTCTGTGAAAGGTTTGTGCCAGAATGGATGGGAGTTTAATAAAACTGATACTGGATTGTCTCATCACTCTTGCCCTTGAGTATGCTGGGGAAAGCCGGGGAGACGGGCAGGGGAAGCAGAAAGCTGAGGCTCCATCCTCATCTCTAAACTCTCCATTAACCAATTTAAAGGGTCTTAAAAGCTTCTCCGAGAGAGAGACATAGCAAGAAATGATTTCTGAGTCAACGCTAATGATTCCAATTACTGAATTTGTGCATAGCTGTTCCCCGGCTTCTGGATGTTAGCCCAAGTTCAATAGCAGAGATGTGGTTGAGGACGGGGGGGTGGGAGGGACTGAGGCCCAAACCCCCTAGGAACCGTCCAAATGCGAAAGACCACCCAGCATGGCCAGCTCAAAGCGGGGAGGATTTGAGGAGGGGAGTTGTCCACATTTCCCTCTCTGCTGCCCGCCCCCCTCCCCAGCCTCTAGTGGTCTCATCACACTTTTCCCAGCAACTTCCTGTCACTGCTGGAGCCCTAAGCTTCCTCCAGCTCGAGCGCCTCTCCTGCCCTCTGCTCCCTTTCCAGGGCTGCCCTGCACACTGGCCTCACCCCCACGGGTCCCCTCATGTGGCTTTCTTCCACAGATGGCTCCTTGGAAGCAGGGACTTTGTCTTTGGATTCCAGTATCCTCAGCACTTAGCACAAGGTCCCGTCGTGCAGGTAAGGGCTCGATACACACATTGGTTAAAGCTCCGGTTTTTAAGCTGTGCAGCGCACTAATCTCTCTGCAAAAAAAAAAAAAGATTTCTGTGGTCAAATAAGTTTGGGAAACAGTGTACTAGATGTCCCCTTTTTATAGATGCACGATGCACGTCAGCATATTCAAGGTTCCAAGAAGTCCTGCAGTAAAGAACTTGGTTAACCCAGTGCTTCCCTCATAGAGTCGGGCGCAGAGCCCGGCTCCCTGCAGATCGCCGATGAACCTTCCCGGGGGCACCCTCTGTGTAAAGTAAAGTGTCACTTCCTGCCTTCCCGTGGAGCTCCACTTGCCAGCCTCTTCCCCTCCTGTTGTCACTTGGGGTTCTCCGATCATGGGCTCCTCTGGCCATGCCTGGGGCAGAGGGGCAGTTCGCACAGTCCGGGGACCCAGGGCCTTCTGTGTTGATGGCCAAATAGGGTTCTCCCTCCCTCTCCGTCGTTATAAGTTAAGTGCTGATCCAATTTAGGGTACCAAATGTGGAGGGAGGATATTTTTAAGCTCTCCTTGTGGAGCAGGAAGGATGGAAGAGTCGTGAGAGAAATGCTGTCAAGGGGCCAAGAATCCTCGCGGTTCAGTCCCTACGGTCTCTGTACAGCCCAGGGGATGGGCTTCCTCGCAGACCCTGGAACTGCTGTGCTTTTGCCATTAAAATTCCGTTATTAATGACTCATTGTTAGTGCCCTGAAAGGAAATGTAAGGGGAGGCTAGGGAGGTGGCCTTTGTTAGCAGGGCCAGCCTGGGTCAGGACGACCCGAGGTTCGAGCCCTGATGCCCTCAGCAATGAGCCCTTTGCGCAAGGCTCTGCTGCCTCAGTTTCCTCATCCGGAGATGCTGTTTTCAGGGAGCCCTGACACTGTGGAGGGAATGAGGCTGTTTGGTTCATTATATCTTCAGTGCTAATACAGGGCAGGGCACTTAGTAAATGTTCAGTAAATATTCATTCAGTGAATGAGGGATTCTATGCGTTGTCTTTTCTCCACCGGACACCAGCACCAAACCTACCCAGCAACATAGGAGGTGCTTTAAAATATCTGTTGAATGAATGGTTCTGTATACCCCTCCCCTGACTGCCATTCCTAGTGCTACTTCTGACCTGTAGTAATTGCTCAGCAAATATAAAATGTTTGTTGAATGAGCGTTTCTGATCGTGCCCCCCACCCCAGACCCATTATATTGTGCCCAGTACTCAGTAGGGACTGGAAAACACTGATCTATTTTCTAGGTCCACACTACGTGCCAGGCTGAGCCTGTGCTAGAACTCCTCCCTCCCCTCCCCTGTCCTCTCTTCTCGTGTTGGAGATTTGGTTCTCTCCAGAGTCGCAAGGGGGGTAGTTGCCATCTCACTCATTTCAGTCAGCGGAGAGGTAGGGATCAGTGAACTGCCAAGCTGAAGCTGGGTCACAGACAAGGAGGCTTCCTGTCAATCTCAGGACGGCCCCCAGGCTCCGAGTGAGCACTGCATTGCCCTCCTGGTGCTGGAGGACGGCTGACTATTGATAAAAAATGTCCCTCTGCGCTTTCCAAATTAAGACGACATTTAACTGAGTGCTCGCTGGCTCGCCAGCTCCTTCAGTCTCCCGGGGGACAGAGCCCATCTTGGTGGAAACGGTTTTGAGCACGTCCAAGGTCTCAGCTCTGACATCTCGGCTTATGTCAAGAAGTTTCTGTAACCTTTCTGTTCAGCAGACTCAGTTCTGTCAGCATGCACACTGTCTCATTCTCAGTCGGTTATTGGGTATAAGGTCTGGCATCAGCCTACTTGGAGGGGTTGCAACGTTGGGGTGAGAGCACTTAACCCTCACGTACATACAACCCCGCCCTGATCAAAGGTCGGTTGCCTCAGAACAGGAACAGCTCTACCCATGAGTTCTCCAGGTTCGGCGGGGAATAGAGGATCACAGTGGGCCTTAATCTTATTTAGGTCACAGACCCCTTTGAGAATCAGATGAAAGCACTGACTCCTTCCCATAGAAAAATGCACATCTTCCCAATTTTGCATGCAGTTCAGCAGGTTCTTAGATCCTGAAGCCCAACCAAGAACCCCAGGTTAAGAACCCTTGATGTATTAGAAAGAACATCATCCTGAACCTCAGATGCAGATGCTAGCCCTGTCCCAAGCCTGCCGTGTGGCTCTGGGCCAGTCAGCTCTTTCTGTCTTGCCATTTCCTTGGCTATAAAATGTTCAGACTCCTTGTGACTAAAATTGCCCACGTCTGTGGAGGTTTAGATAGTGACTGAGAGCAGTGCTGCTTATCTTTTTATAGGTCACATGTTCCTTTGAAAATCTGATAACTCCGTATCTTCTGCCTAGAAAAACACCTGTACACAAAGTCTCGCCTGGCATTCAGGGGGTCCAAGATTTAGGACTTTTGAACTAGAGTGAGGCAGTGATCCAGTTGCGAGCCCTGGTTCCAGTTTCCCTAGGTCACCTCTCCCCATCTCTTCTCTCCACCTCCCAACATCAGCTCTGCACTGAAAATCCACTAGTAATTGGGGGTCAGCACTGCCGACTCCAGTGCTGTGGTTTTCCGACTTTGTCTTCACATAATGGAACATTTTTTTTTCTCTTTTCTAAGGAAGTCTTACCTGGAGCTCCAATATAGAGAAAAGGGACTCCTGTAGCATCTATTTACCCATTTATTCATTTATTCTTCCATTCAACAAGTATTCATCAATGTTGCCTTGTGCCAGGTACCTGGCTGGTCAGGTTGGAGACCCTACCTGCTTGGTGTCCCCCAGCCTCTTTCATTGACTTGGGGAACCCAGCAGCTTGCAAATCACAGACCTTGTAAAGAGTTTACTCTGCCTCGGAGTGATGATCAGAGACCTAGAGACCCTGCTCCAGAAGCATTCCTGAAGCTCCTGAAGCACTGTGAGGGCCTCATTTTCTTCATCTGTAAAATGGGATAATGGAATAATGATGCCTCGTTGCATTCCAAGTGTGGATGGTTTTCATTATCCCTAGTGGGGAGTATGATTGGCCCATTTCTGTGGACAGTGAACATGTGTACTGAGCTCCAGAAAAAGGGCAAAAGGAGAGGCACAGAAAGGAATTTTTCCCTTTAGTATCCAAGAAAGCCCCACATTACTGAGAAGCTGAATAGACTGCTTGGAAATTTCCAGGGAAATTATAAGGCTGAGCCTTGGGAAAATATTTGCTATTTTTTTCACTCCTTCCTCTCCTGGAAGGTTTGCTGCTGTCAGTGTCAATTTCATAGACCCGGTTCACACACTGTCCTCTAGGGCCTGAATTCACTGCTGTGACAGAGGAAGATTTACTCACGATTGCTGGGTCTGGAAAGATGACTTCTGTACCTGAAGGGCTGCTTGCTGGGAAAGGACAGGAGTCTGCAGACACCCACCCTGCATCAGGTCAGTTCCAAGTCCCTCTCGCTATGTGCTTGGAAGAGCAGAGATGTGAAGGCCTGAGTGGCTTTGGAAATGTTCTTTTCAACTGTGTTTCTTGAGGGGATCTCAGGCAAGTCTGCTACTGGCAAAAGCTCACCTATGGGGGCTCTTCCTTTCCTTTCCTTGGCTGGCAGTCTAGTGTCAAGGTCGAGGGCATGGGTTTTGGTGTTGGACAAGCCTAGTTCCAATTCCTGGCTCTGCCTCCTCTCTCTGCTTGATCTTGGGCAAGACCCTCAGCCTCTCCAAGTCTCATGGCTTTGTCTGTGAAATGGGGATAATAACACCTCCCCTCCTAGGGCTGTGGAGAAATGAAATGAAATCCTATTGTAAAGACTTGTGTCTGGCTCGTGTTAATGCTCTATAGTCATGCTTTTCTTAGCCTTAATTTTCCAGCTGAGAATCGGATTATTTGATAATGTAGCAGCAGCAGAGGAGCAGGGGTCAAGAGTACCCATGTCCATCATTGCCTACCTAACACTGTGCACCCTCCTGTCCAGGCCCTGCATGACCCTCTGGCCAGGGACTGGATGACAAAGAACCTTCACTCTATTCTTCCATCCTCCCTCTCGACAGGTGCAAACAGGATAACGAGCCACTGCTTTTCCTTTATTAGTAGGTCAGAGAGCTTTGCCTGGTGCCCCAGGATCCAGCCCCCCACACCCTCCAGTGTGCACCCAGGCCATCCTTTCCTGCTTGTGACACTTCTTGGCATCCGCTCTGCAGGAGGATGAACCCTCTGTGCTCTTACATGTGTTTTGCCAGCAAACACTTATCTCAGCGGCCAACTGTCTTCCTCCTCCAAAAAATCCACAGGCAGAGCCAGCCCCTAACAAGGGGTTGCTTTGGTCAGCCCGCTGTTTGTCCTGGGGCTCCTGCCTCCTCTGTGGGGCAGCACTGGTCACCTTAAGTTCTCAGGCCACCTCTGGTCAGTGAGTTCAAAGATTAGAGAAACCACCTCCTGTCCCAGAGTCCTCAGGGCCTGGGCTTCCTAACATCTCCCGGGGCCCCTGGTTCCTGGATCCACAGGTCCCTGCTGCTGCCGCCGCTGCTGGTCCTGCCCTCGGCCCCCTTCTTTCCAGATCGGCCCCCAGGGCCTTCCGAGCCCGAGGCCCCGCTGGTGGCTAGGTCTAGACTCAGGGTCCTTCCGCAGACTGAGAGCCGCCGCAGCACCTCGGAGGCGGCCTCCACCGGCACGGCGGGGCGCTGCTCCAGCAGCATCTCCAACAGTGAGCTCATCTCCGACAGGAAGGTGCTGGCCAGCCGCGTGCCCGTCGGGCTCAGCTCGGGCCCCGGCGCCTTGCCGAACGTCTGGAAGGTCCTGGGCTCCTCCGAGGTCGCAGCGTCCGGGGAGAACACGTTGTCACGGTAGTTGGTGGCGAGGGGCAAAGAGAGTCTTGCCATCCAGGCCGGATCGGGGACGCTCAGCCGGTCCAGGGCCAGGCCTGCAAGGGGCGGAAGGGACGCGGTGAGGGCGGAGCCCATGGCGGGCGGGGGTGGGGTCGTGGGCAGGGCGGGGCGCCGGACAAAGGAGGAAAGGGAAATGGAGGGGACCGATGGGGCGGCCGGAGGTGGGCGGGAAGGAAGAGGCCCTGACAGGGAAGCGCTCCGGGCAGGAAGGCAGCGACTGATGTCCGCGCGTGAGCTGAGTGAGGATGCGGCAGGGGGAGGAGGAAGGCCTAGAATTAGAAATGGCCCGTTTCTAAAGCATCTACCGGTCCCTGGGGCTGTTTCAGGTTTAGGTGTCCTTCATCCATCCCTGTACAGCCAGGATGTTCACTCCCTCAGGACACCACTAGCTGAGGATGCCGGGGGTGGGGGTGGGGGAATCCCCGTTTTTAGCCATTGCTGGAGTTCCTGGCTTGGCGCTGCCTTCGGTTCCTATTCATAATAATAGTGACCACTTATTAAGTACTTCTGTGCTAGGCAATTTACATAATTATCTCATTTAACCTCCACACAAACCTTTGAAGTCAAGAGTATTTTATGGATGAGGAAACTGAAGTTCCAAGAAGTTGTCACACAGCTACTAGGCAACCAAGCCCAGATTTGACCCCCAGGTCTGATGACTTGGAAGCCCCCTGTCACTGCACCACTGCACCCACTCTCTGAAGAGCTGGCCCTTCCTCCCCCTGGATGCTAGGTGGCTCTGGTTTCCCAGGCCTACTAAGGTCTGTACTGTTGCCTCCTGGCCCCATGCTCTCAACTCCTCAACCTTCCCCTCTCAAGCTGCAGGAAACCGTGTGAAGGGGCTGGCTGCCTAAGAGCTGTCCCAGGGAAGGGCCGGGGCGGTGGAAAAGTGTCCCCCAGGCCCCAAATCCCACCATCACACTTCTCCTTTTCCCATCTCTTCAACAGAAAATCCTGTCTCAGAAAACTAGTTCCAGGCCCAATGATAGAGGCCAAGCCAGAGGGAAGAAATTATAGGCCTTGTGGTTAAGAATGTGTGTCTTTAAAAAAAAAAAAAGCACAACATCTGCTTTAACATGTATTTAATATTTGCTTAAGGTACCCTGCTTTAAATTATGTGCATAGAATGAAAGACTGGAAGGGGACGCGTCATAGTGTTAACTGAAATTACCCCTGGGCAGAAATGATTTATTCTCTTTTTGTTTATCTACATTTGTCTATATTAACCAAATATTACTTTTGTGATTTTGAAAAGTTATTGCAAAATACAGTAAATGCTGTTTCTATTGATAAATGAGCCTCGGTCTTGCCTTCACAGTGTGGGGCTGTGCAGGCTGTGAGGCAGGGTCACGCCCCTTCCCGACTGGTCCAGCCCACGCCTGGGGCTTAGTGAACGTTTATTGAATGATTGAATGGACATAAATATTAACCCTGGACATTTGGGGAATGTAAACCTAAGTTCCCTGAGACTCTGGGGTAATAAGTTTAGAACTCTTTTGGTGTTACAGAATCAGGCTTTTCCTTGCACAAGGGTCAGAGAGCTTTGGAAGGAATGAAGCTTGGAATGAGAAAATCAGTGGAGTGTAGGAGAATGGCTGAAATGTGATGATGAATTCACTCCGCGGCAGGTGGGCACTGGGCAGACCTGGATTTGATTTCCTAACTTTGCAGCTTATGAGCATTGTGACCTTGAAAAACTTGCTTAACCTCTCTGAGCCTCCTTTTTCGCTCACAAAGTGGTGAAATAGTAGCACTTATCTTGTCAGGTGGCTGTAAGCATTCAGTGAGCTCACGCAACGGTAAAATATGGTCATCATCACATCCTCAGGTGGGGCTTTTATCTGATGCAGCCAAGACCCCAGTGTCAGGCACATTCCCCAGTAGCCTCATCACAGTCCAGCCCTGAGAGCAGCGCAGGCACTTCTACCCCTGCTGCGCTCTTCGTCACACCACTTGTTACCATCTCCCTGTGTTCTTTGCCCTCTGTGCTGTGGGGAAGCAGGACCACATGGGAACTGAGCCCACAGGTTCCAGCGCAGAGCTGGTGCACACAGATATAATGCAAGGCACTGAGGTCGTCTGAAATTTTCTAGTAGCCACATTTAAAAAGTAGAAAGAGAAGGTGAAATTAATTTGTAAGTTTTTTTATATTTAAGATCATTTTATCACATAATCAATATTTTTAAAATTATTAATGAGATATTTTACATTCTTTTTTCATACTAAGTCTTCAAAATCTGGAGTGTGTTTTATACTTCTATCACATCTCCATTGGTACTAGCCATTTTCACATGTGGCCAGTGGCTACTCTATTGGACCTCACAGCTCCGCATTCTAGACAATGCTGTCCTGTAAAACTCTGTAGATTTGTGCTGTCCCAAGCAATATCCATTAGCCGCACGTAGCTACTGAGCTCCGGAAATGTGGCTGATATGACTGAGGAACTGAATTTTTCATTTTACTTGATTTTAATTAGATTTCATTTTACTTAATTTTAATTTAGAGCCACACTGCCTGGGTTAATAACCATTGGCTGCACAACCTTGGGAAAATTACTGAACACCCTGGCCCCTCAGTTTTTTTCCTTTATGAAATGGGGATAACGAATAGTCCCTATCTCAGAAGATTTTCTCATGAGGCAATTAGAACAGGGACTAGCACATAGAAAGCACTCAATAAAAGTTAGCTATCTATTTTTTTAACCAAGGAAAGGGAAGTCCCTGTCATGCCTTCAGCGCACAGAATATGTCCAGATGAAGAGCAGATTATTAACTACAGAAACAGAAAATCAGCGTAGGTTGGACTTACTGTGTGTTACCTGAAGGGGGCTGACTGATGCGGGGGCGGAGGGAGCTGGCAGATTCTTGAATTCTCAGGGTAAAAGGGTATTTAAAGACATCAAAGAAATGCAGATGAGTGGTTTAGGAGGTAGAGAGAGGTCCCCTGATGGTAGGTGGGCTCAGGATGGCTTCCCTTCAATCATTGAAGTGACTCAGGGCAGGCTGTATTACCTCTCTGAGCCTCAGTTTGCTGATCTCTAAATTGGAGCTCATAATATCTACCTGAAAAGACTGTTTGGAAGCTTAACTGAGATAATGTATATAAGATGCTTCCTTGGTACCTGGCACACACCAAGAGCTCAGTAACTGTTCACTATTCTTATGATGATTTTTTTTAATGAATGACCAAAGTAGAATCTGATCTTTAAACAAATGAAGATCTGAAGCTCCAGGGGAAGTGAAAAAATTTTGCTGATAGTCTCCAGAAATAGAATGGCTGTTTTCCTGCAGTGGATTGGAGCAGAACTCTGAAGCCTGGGCACAGGAGGGTACGATGGGGGCAGAAGCGGGGTCGGGGTGACCCTGGGGAGTCCCTACCTGTGTAGGGGTCCAGCAGGTTCGACAGCTCTTCTTCTAGCAGCTGCTTCACAGAGAGGTCCTCCTCAGGGTCCAAGGGCCCTTCCTCCTGATCTGGTTCTGCCTGGCCACCAGCCCTGGCACCTGGGCCATCTGTGTCTGGGATTGCACTCCTGCAAAGGGAGCCAACACAGTCCGTGAGTGAGGAAATTCACACATAGTTTCATTCATTCCTGCTCATGAATAGTCTTCTGTTCATGCCAGCATTCATTCATCCACAGAGGGAAGTGGGTCCACAGCCCAGCCTTCAGAGTCAGACCAATCTGGGTTACTTGATCCCAGCCCTCCTGCCTACTCTGAGTCTGCTTCCTCATCTGTAAAATGGGAGTAATAAATAACACCCACCTCATGGGGCGTTATGGGGGTAAAATGAGGTGTTGCATGTAAAGAACTTAGCACAGTGTTGTAAGCAGTCAGCAAACAGAAGTGACTATGAATGCCCTGATATTACTCACCATTGTCCCTCCATTGCTTCTCATTACCTGGCATGGAATAGGAGTTTAGTAAACTTTGGGTGATCTAATGCAGTCATCCTTCCACCCCTCCATCCCTCTATCTGAGTATGAGCTCCAGTGAGGGCAGGGATATTTGTCTGTCTCATCCCCTGCTCTCTCACCAGCGCTCAGAATAGGACTTGGCACATAGTAGGTGCTTAATAAATGCTTTGTGGACTGAGTGACTGAATGTTCCTTCCTCCCTATTTGAGGCTAAATCCCAGACCAGAAGAGCAGGTCAATAGAGGGTGCAGCAGAGGTGAGGCATCCGAAAGCTACTCAGAATCTACTATGGTGTCTCTTGCTGTCTCCCTGACCCCTCCCTCCCAAAGACCCTCTCTATCACCTGGGGGAGGCCAGTTCCTGGGACTACCTTAGCCTGGTGGGGACAGGCCTGGCACCTCATCCCAGCATCTGGAAAAGCTCCCTTTAAGGCCTGGGGGTCCTTGCTGCTTTTTTTCTGTGGCCATTTCTGCTCCTATGCAGGGGTAGCAAGTTTGCAAGTAATGGCAACAACTAATGTTTATTGAGCAATTACTCTGAGTCAGACATATGCTTTGCAAGGTATATTTACCTTCTCATCAAACCTTTCACGTCTGTAAGGGGTTCTCTTGTCCTCATTTTACAAATGAGAAAACCAAGATTTGTAAAGATTAGGTAGCTTGCCCAAGGTCCCCAGAAATTAAGTAAGAATTCAAATCCGGGCTGATACGACTCTGGAATGTGTGTGCTCACCGCTACTCTACACTATTTCTAGCTATCTTTGCAAAAAAAAAACAACAAAAAAAAGACTGTAAGTTGTCACAGCAAGAGCACTGAACCGGAAGTCAGTGTCCTGAGAGCTGGTCCCAGCTTTGCCACTCACTGGCTATTTGACCTTGAGCAAAGTCACTTTAAGGGGAAAGGACTTAGCATTGTTTGTGTACCTCCCATGTGCCAGGCACTGGGCCATGGGCTCAGAATGCGTGTGATCATTAAATCCTACCCCATCACTACAAGGAAGTGTGGTGACCTCTGTTTCATGGATGAGAAACTGCATCCCTGAGGCTTGATTTGCTCAAGTTTACATAGCTGGGTTGGATCAAACTACTCAGAGCCTCAGTTTCTCCATCTGTAGCAAGAGGGAGTTAAATTAGATGTCCTCTTGAGGTCTCTTTAATTCTAGGACGGCCCAAAGGAACACACCCACACACCCACATCCTTAGCCAGGAGCCTTCATATTATGTTTAAGGGTCAAGAGAAAGAGCTAAACGTTACAGATTTAAAGTTCATAGCCCAGCACCTCTGCAATCAGGGAACAGATAGATAATCAGAGCCTCAGGGATGAAGTCACTTCCTTAGTGACTCGGGTCCTGTAAATACTATTAATACAGTTGCTCCAGGACCAGGATGCCTGGGTGGGGGAATGGATGCTGTTCGCTGCAGTCTCCCAGGGGAGCAGCGTCTGGGATGTGCTCACCCTTCCTCAAGGCACAGAGGCTGCAAGGGTGAGGGCAGGCTGGTGGGGGGCTTGAGAAGCCAGTGGGGGCTACGTGCAGCTTACCTGCTGCCGCCGGGCTTGGCCAAGTACTTATTTCCCCGGTGGTTTGGTTTGGGCTGGAATTGGCCCTGATGCAGCAAGGACAGCAGCTGGGAGATTTGCTACAAGACAGGAAAAATCTGTTGACTCCACACAATTCCGACCCAGCACACTTCCTCACCGGATGTTTCCCTCAATGCCGGCGCTTTCTTTTTATAGTCTTTCCTCCAGCTTCAGATGTTCGTGGATCGGATGGGGGATGGTGAACGGTGATGGTGACGGAGGCAGGGATGTGTGCAGACAGGTTCCCTGCTTGGCCATGTGTCAACTACAAATTCCCGGGACCTGGGAGTCTGAGAGAGAGAATGAGAACCCTCTGGGCCTGTCCCCCAACTCTCAATCCCCCAGGAGACCTGCTCCCGGTGGAAGCTGTGGGATGGGGGTGAAAAGGGCACGTCCTGACTGTAAATGTATTATAACCTCGATAAGGATTATTGTAAAGTGTTATTTCCCCCGCTTCAGTGATGTTCAAAGACTGAGCCATTGTTGGCGGGCCAGATGTAAGACTATGTTGTACAGAAGGCAGAAGGGTGTCTTTGAATCATTCGTTTATTCATCCTTTCATTCGCTCAACAAGTATTTAATGAGAGCTTGTTTGTGCCACGCCGAGTGCTTGCTGGGGGGGTAAGAATGAGAACAAGGCCCAGTCTCTGCCCTCAGGGAGTTCCCAGTCTGCCAGGGAGGACAGTCAGGGGAGACAGGACACAGCAGCTGCTATGGGGGGTTGCACCAGGGATGAGAAACGGTGGAGGTCAAGTGGAGCAGAGGAAGGCCCCTCACCCAGCTTGCAGCAAGGAGGGAGTTACGGGGTGGGGCTGTGGATACAGGGGGAAGTAATTCACTTATTTCAACATATGTTTTCTGAGTTCATACTACATGCCAGGCGCCTCTGCTGAGACCCGGAGGTTCCACAGGGGCTTGGCAAGTGGAGAGAGGGTGAGGGCCAGGGTGAGGGAGGAAGGGAGTTTCGGTCAGAAGGTGCTCAAGCTGAAAGGGCAGAGGAGACGGTGGCGTTTCAGAAAGGCTGGTGAATGGGGCAGGGGTGGGTGAGATGTCAGGGTGAGGCCCCACAGGCCCTAGTGAGGGAGAAGGCAACAGACCAAGTCAAGGGCGTTTCTAGCTTGTTGTGTGATGTCAGGCAGGTTTTTAGACATACTCAGACCTCAGTTTCCTCATCTCTAAGGTGGATCTAAAAATACCACCCAGACTTCTTTACAGGGTTGTCAGGATTAATTAGGTGGTTTTTGAAATGCTCTGCAGAGTCAAGGGGTTTGTGTTGTTCCTCCTAGAAATGCTGCCTCTGCCTCCCAACTGGGCCCAGCCCCCCTCTTCCCTGAGAGGGTCCCTCTGCCCTCTGGACAGCTCAAGACAGAAAATGCCAACCTCAGAGGAGAGTTGGAAGGGGAGGTGGCCAGGACTGGGGTTTCACTGTGATGTGGGAGGGCCAGGGTCCCATTGCCTGCCTCAGGGCAGTTCCCACCTCCTGGCTCAGGCCCAGAAACCCTCCTACAAGCACCTGCCACCCTGTTTTCGAGTGACAGCTGCTACTTCAGGGAAACTCCCTGAGTGCCAAACCCTAAGTTGTATGCTGTCATTCAGGCTGTCATTTCACAGTTAGAGTCCAGACTCTGGAGTCAGACTTGGGTTCAAGTCCTAAATCTGCCCCTGTTCCACTTCCCATCTGTGTGGCCTTGAGGAATTACTTAAGCATTCTGACCCTCAGTTTCCTCAGCAGTAAAAAAAAAAAAAAAAGGGAATAAAAATGAGACTCAGGTCATGTGTTGGTTGTGGCTATGAGGATTAAATGAGTGAAAGTCTATAAATTACTTAGGAATAGATCTTATGATAAGCACTTAATAACTGTCCAGTGGTATATAATCTCATGTCATTCTTCAGTAACCCAAGGAAAGAGATACCATTATATCCACTTTACAGGTGTAGCACCTGAGGCTCACAGGGGCTACACAGCAATTAGAGGCAGGGTTGGACTTTGAACTGGGATCTGACTCCACTGTGGCACTGTGCTACCGGAAAGACAAGCATTAGGCAAGCTGCCTCTTACCCTCAACTTGATCCCAACTTGGTACCCTCCTCTCTTTCACCCCAGTGGGGTCACCCGCAGGGCTTGCTATCTGCTCTCTCTGTTTGCCAACCACCAGCACAGTGTTTGGCACAAAGAGCTCATTCAATAAGCATTTGCTGAATGAATGGGTGAATGAATGAATGAACAAATGAATGAATGCATGGCTCTGGGCAACTTCTGGGGCTGCACAGAGCCCAGGGCAGGACTCCTGAGAGAGCAGCTGGGCCCTCTCGAGGTGGCTTCCTGGGGAAGGGGTGGGGGAAGGAAGCTGTGTCCTTGCTCCGCAGGAAACATGAGCTGATAGCCTGGCTCATGACAGAAGTGTGCCTTGGGCGGGCAGCCTGGCACAGGGAAGATGATCTGGGGTTCAGAGGAGTTGATACGGGTGTGAGATCAGACACCGTCCCGGAAAAAGCTTTCCCAGGTGTGTCCAGTAAATCCTAGGTCACTGGACACAGCCATTCATCATCCCGTTTAATTCTCAACCCCCTGGGAGGTAGACACAGCTAAGTTTGGCATCACAATCCCCGTTTTATAGATGAAGAAAATAAGGCTCAGATGTTAATGTTGCCCAGCTCCTAAAGTGGCTGTGCTGAAACTGGAACCTAGATCTGCCTAACTCCCAATTTCCAAGGTTGTTTCCGCTGTCCTATCCCATAGGCCTAGCTGGCAAGCTCTGGGGTCTCAGGCAGGTCAAATGCAGCCCCTGAGCCTGGGGGCAATGATGCCTATGCCGGCTTGCTTCACCCGGAGGTTGCCCAGATGAGATGAGGGCAGGTGAAATGGAGAAGAGCTTAGCAGAAATCATCATAATCATTTTCTGAGTGCTGACTACACGCCAGACGCTATTCTAGAGGCTTTAAGCACATTCACTTTATTACCTTCAAGCAAACTTGGGAGATGGGTGCTGTTAACTTGGGCAACTTCAACAGAGAAGCTGAGTGACTTCCCTGTGGTTCACAGCTTGGAAGAGGTGGAGCCAGAATTTGAACCTGGGCAGCCTTGCTCCAAAGCTTGTACTCTTAGTCACTACCTTTGCTATGTGTCTACTTGCACAAGGCACTCTTAAGTGAGTGCTCATACAGGAATTAACTGACCAAATCCTTAGGACAATTCTGCAAGGCAGATGCTCTTACTGTCATCCCTATTTTATAGATAAAGAAACTAAGGCTCAGAGACAGTAAGTCATCTGTCCAGGATCACACAGCTAAATTCTGTTGACCCCAGAGCTGTGCCCTGAACCACTGCACCCAATGCATCCTAAAGTGCGTGGTGAGCCTGAGGAATGGATGTGAAGAATGTGAGGGTAATGGGGTCTGATGCTGTTGTGGGCGGGTGAGGGGGGCTGACAAGAGAGGGAGCTGCCCACACCGAGGTACCTGAACAGGAGGCGAATCCACAGTGAGCTCCTCTACGGGGTTCCGCTCCGCAAAGGCAGCCACAGACAGCCGGACCAGGCTCCGCAGGATCTGACGGGGGCCTGACTCTTTCTCAGGGGCTACTTTGCCATGGAGATTCCGCTGCCGCCTCAGGGTTGCAGAGGAGGCCGGCGGGCTCAGCGGGGCCTCCTTACTGCCCTGGTCCCCAGGCACCCTCCCTGTGGGGCTGCCCGCAACCTTCAGGGGCCTTGAGCGGGGCTGGCCTGTCGCAGGTTGGGGCTCGGGAAGGTTCAGGTTCTCCCGGGAGGCATTCCTCTGCCTGGGATGGTTGAAAAGGAGGTTGACAGTGTCCTGCAGCACCTCTCGGCTCTCGGCCAGCGTTCCCTGGTTACCTTGGTTACGCAGAGTCCTGTACAGGGTCGGTGTGAGATGAAAGGGGGCCTGCAGGCAGGGGTCCCAGCCTGCTTCCATCATCGCTTCCTTGCCCACGTGCTTGGGGGGCTGCCCAGCTTCGCCAGGCTCATCCACCTGGCCCCTGAGCACAGGCACGAGGTGGATGTCCGCCTTCTGGATGTGTTTCTGGGGCCTCTTGGGCTGGTGACGGTAGGTGGACTCGGCCTCCCGACAGTTGTAGGCCCTGTTGTCCTTCTTCTCCGTCCGGCAAATGGACATAATCAGAGCCAAGATCAACCCGGAGATGGCCAGCAGTACGACCAGGCAAATCACCGTGAGCACCGATGTGCTCAGAGCCCCAGGCTCACGGGCTGAGTCCCTCAAGTGGTCCACACTGGTGACGAAGAAGACCCTCAACAGGGCCCGGGTCTGTAAGGAGGGGCTGCCCCGGTCTTCCACCACGATCTCCAGCTCCCACTCACTCCCAGTGAGGCTGCTGGCATTGGTGATGTTGATGAACAGCTGCCCCAGGTGGGGGCTGAGGACAAAGAGACCAGCTTCGTTCCCACTCTGAATGCTGTAGAGGAGCTCTCCATTTGCCCCTGAGTCTGCATCTCTTGCTACAATGGTCACCAAAAGGAATGGCCGGGAGCTGGGGGTGGCCTGTGGTGGCATGTCAGTGCCTGCTGGACCCACGCCATTGGGAGTTTCAATGGGCACCAGCAGGTGACCTGTGGAGGCATTTACAAGCACCGAGAGACTGACTTTCCCATCGCTGAGTACGGGGTGAATCACCTCTGGGGCATTATCATTGGCATCCAGCAGGCTGACCCACACAGAGACACTGGATGCAAGCTGGGGCTGCCCCCTGTCCTCTGCGATCACCAGGAACTCGAAGCCGGCCATCTGTTCATAGTCCAGTGACCTCTGGGCGGTGACCTCGCCTGTGTCTGAGTCAATAGCTACCAAGTGAGAAACTGGGGAGTCCTGGATGTGGTATGAGATTTTCCCATTAACGCCCAGATCTGCATCATGGGCCTTGAGGGTAATGAGGTGAAGAGAGGGTAGGTTGTTTTCCCGAGTGGAGACCTGGTACCTGCTTTTCTCAAACACAGGTGCGTTGTCGTTGGCATCACCAATCTGAATGCTGAGCTGTTTCTTGACTGATAAGGGCTGGGGTCCTTGGTCTTGGGCCAAAAGAGTGAGGGTGTATTGCGGCCACTGCTCTCTGTCCAGCGTGGCATTGGTTAGCAGCATGTATGTGTTGCCATTGGTCCTCTTCAGCCTGAAGTGGCCCAGCTCTTGGCTCAGCCAACAGTGGACCAGGCCGTTGTTTCCTGAGTCTAGGTCATTTGCCATGATGAGAGCAATGAAACTGTCCTTGGGAAGAGCTTCGGACACCAGGGATGGTTGGGAGGCCCACGTGATGTGGATGTTTGGGGTGTTGTCATTGACATCCAGAACCTTGATGAGAATTTTGCAGTGAGCTGGGATGGGATTGGGACCCAGGTCCCTTGCCTGGACATCCACCTCGTAGGCAGGATTCTTCTCATAGTCTAGGGGTTGACGCAGAATCACCTGGCCTGTCTTGGCATCAATACTGAAGGTGTCCAGCACCTCTGGAGGCACGTGCTTACTGAGGAAGTATTCCACCTCCCCGTTGGGGCCTTGATCAGGGTCTGTGGCAGTCAAGTTTATGAGGAGAGTACCAGGGGCAGCGTCTTCTTGGATTTCCAGTGCCAGCGAGCTCTCAGCAAACACAGGGCTATTGTCATTGGAGTCCAGGACATTGACCTTGACCAAGCTGGTGCCTGACTTGGGGGGGTTCCCACTGTCATAGGCAGTTAACACCAGATCAAAAAATGAATGGATTTCCCGGTCCAGCTCCTTCACCACCACGAGTTCCGCGTGTTTGGTCTCATCGGGCCCCACAATGACATCCAGGGCAAAATGCTCGCTGGGAGACAGGGTGTAGGAGTGCAGAGTGTTGGGGCCAGTGTCTGGGTCCAGAGCTCTGTCCAGGGGGATCCGGGTGCGCAGGGAGGCGCTCTCAGAGATTTCCAGCTCCTGCTCACCTTTGGGAAACTGAGGCTGGTGGTCGTTGATGTCCAGCACCTGGATCTCCACGTGGATGAGAGCCAAATCCCCTGTGGCAAGCACGTCAAAGGAAACCAGGCAGGGATCCTGCTGCCGGCAAAGCTGCTCCCGGTCCAGCCGCCTCCCCGTGCTGAGCAGGCCGTCCTTGGAGTCCACCTGGATGGGGAGCGCCTGAGGCAGCTGCAAGACCTGGAAGGCAGCCCCTGCTCGCCCAGACCTCTCCTCCCGGCCCAGTTCCTGAGACAGCTTCCCTATCACTGTGCCGGACGGTACTTCCTCTGACACTTGATATTTCACAGTGAGAGTGGCGACCTCCTGACAATCCCCTGAAAGGAACAAGTAGCCACCTGGCCCCCAAAGTCCCAGCAGAAGTGGCAGAAGTCGCATCATGCTTACCGCCAGAGTGGGCTAGATCCAGAAACCGCTAGAGTTCTTCGAAGGCTGGGCAAGTCCTCCAGTGTTCCCTGGGGGGCTTGATTAGCCCTGTTCTCCTGCCCCCAGACCTGCTGGCACAGCCTCGTCCCATAATTAGTTGATGGAGCCAGCAGAATTCCCAGGCGAGGCCATCTTCATCAGAAGAGATTTGAGGGGTCCAAGGACCAATGAAGGAAAATTGTTCAGGGGCACTGTTGGTCCCCGTTAGCAAATGATGGACAAGAGCCGGTCCAGGGGGGACTTGACCCAGTAGAGCAGGATGTGGGGATCTGACTTCCAAACAGTTGCTAGGCTGGGGAAACAGAGAAGCAGCTTTTTCCTATGGAAACCCCACCTACAGGAAAAGGGAGGGCTATGAGTTTCTATGCCAATTAGAGAAAGAGAGTTTCCATGAAGCTGAGTGGCCCGCCGCTGAGGAGGATGCGGCTGGGGACAGGCCGGATGGGAAGGTGCCGTCCATGTGGCAAGGCAGCCACTGAGGGGAGGGGAGCCCCTGCTGTGGCCAAGTGAGCAGAGAGCCTGAGCCCCTCCCGGGCAAGTCACACCCTGGCCTCTCTTCCCTTCCTTGTCTCTCTTTGTTTCCGTCATCTCCCGTCATTCTTCTCCCATTCCCCTTTTTCCCACACTTGTCTACCTCTCAGTCTTGACTTCGCCCTCATCACCCGTTTTTGTCTCATGGGAAGCAGCGCTGATTAAGAGAGTGGCTATAAGAGCCAAAATGCCTGGGTTCAAATCCTGACTCCACAACTTCCCAGCTGGGTCATGTAGGACAAGTCACTCAACCTCTCTGGGCCTCATCTTAAGAGCACAGATGGGAATAACAACAGTAGCCCTCTCAGCAGGAAATCGTGGGATGAAATGAAACATTGGCCCGGAGTCGTAGGCGATGACGTTGTTCTTAGCGGTGGGTGGCGTGATCTGCCAGCTTGGCCTACCTTGTGGCTGCCTCTGGCTCTTGCACTGGCCCTGGGTCAGTCCCTGCCCACATACTTCAGGAGCCAAAAGTGCCCGTGTCCTTGGCTCCTGAAGTACAATGACCTTTCTGACCCGACGGTGTGGCCTCCCTCCCCCTTCCCTTCCGGCTCCCTAGCCTCCTGGCCCATTGTTCTCCACATCTGGTCCAGCCTGAGCCCCTGTTCGGGGGAATCCCCCAGCTCCTGCTCCTTGGTCTTGGAGGTTTTTATACCTTTCCCTCTCCCACACCTTCCTCTCCCTTTCCCTCCCTTCCTCCAATTCTTCTCTTCCCACTGCTGTTCATGTCCAAGAGTCCCGTCACAGAGGTGAGGCCAGGAGGGGGGCGAGTGGGCAGTTGGCTTGGGTGGCCTTGAGGTGACTTGCTGCTTCTCATTTCCTCCTCCATCCACTGCCCCCACCATTGTCCAGTCTCGCACTTTACCTTGAGGTTGAGTCCAGAGGTTTGTAAACCTTTTGAAGTGATGGGAGTTAAGGGCCAGCTTCCCCTCAATGGGTGTTGGCAGCTCAGTCCTTGGGGCTGGAGGTGCCTGTTGGGACACAAGTGACTCCAATCAGGCCCATTGGCCAGGGGGCTTGTGGCCATTAGGATGGGGCGACTGAGGACCTCCCTGGCCTAAGCCTCACCTTGCACCCCCCTTCCCCTCTGTATTCTCTTTCCCACACCCTATCCTTTCATATTCTACCCCTGGAGGTTTCCCAATAGCAAGGGGCCTGAATCCAATCGGGTGTTTCCTACAGTCTGGCTCTGAAGACAGAACACTCAATAGCTCGGAGACGTGGCACAAGTCACATAACCTCTTTGGGCCTCAGTTTCCTTCTCTGTAGAGCATGGCTGTCACCCATCTCCCGTGTTTGTGGTAAGGATTTGATGAGATAATGCAAGTGAAGGCTTGGTGCAATGCCTGGTACAGAGAAAGCACTCATTACATGGGACTAGTTTACCTTGTACTATTTGCCAGGCTTTATACCTCGAATGCAAATGGTAAAAATGGTCTTGCATTTGTCCCTTCACGTTTTTTCCTCCGCCTTCTTGGCCAGGAAGGCTCATTTCCCAGGGCTTCTTCATCTCGGGCGAGGGCCCAGTGCTACCTGCCCTGCAAGGGGAACCAGCGTGGGCCCCAGGCCCTCTGGTGACAGTCAGCCTGCATGGCGGCCTCACTGTCTGGCCCTCACTCATCCTACTATGTGCAAGGCAGTGAGCAAGACAAAGTGACCCCCAAGGGGCTTGTAGTCTCAAGCCAGGGTGGGGAAAATGAAAGAAGTGGGTCCAGTGGATGGCTCCAGAGTCAGGCTTAGGGATCAGGGGAGGCTCCTCCTGGAGGACACACCCTGAAGGACGGGGAAGAGTGAGGGGGGGGGCAGGTGCGAGCAGGTGGAGGGAGCAGAATGGAAGAGGCCGGAGGTGGGCGAGCTTGCTTCTCGCAGTCCCACACGAGGGCCTGTGCGAGTGGGGAGGAGGACGGTGGGCTGGGGGTGTCAGCAGGGGCCGCCAGATGATGGAAGGCCTGGGACCCCGTGCTCAGGATTTGGACCTTGTCCTGAAGGCCATGCAGAGCTTTGGAAGGGGTCTGAGCAGACTGATGAGAATAGCAGCTACCTGCCAAGCTTTGTCCCGAGTGTTTTACCTGCATCGTCCCATGCCACCCTCACAACCAGGCCATAGGGGTGAAGAAGCTGAGCAAGGGTAGCTTGCCCAAGGTCACGCACATTTGCCCTCCACAAAGCCCCTTCAACTGTACTCTGGGATGTCGATTGAAAGGGAACAGAGAAGAGGGAAGAAGAAGGCCAGCTGGGAGTAATGCAGGGGAACTTTGGTACAGGAGACTCTGGTGCTGAGAACGTTTCTAGAGTGCCATCTGGTGGCCAAAGGCAGGAAAGCCACAGAGGCAGGGAGGTGGGTGGCTGGAGTTCTCAAATGTCCACAACTCCAGACCCGTGTTCCTGTGCTACGTACAACACAATGGAAGGAGCTATACCCAGGTGACAATCATTTCACTTAGTGGGAAACCTAATGTGACCCAACGCCCACAGGAGGAATTATGGAATTCATGATTTTACATGTGTTAACATTTATATTCTGGAAAGGGCATTGATTGTGTGTGTGTGTGTGTGTGTGTGTGTGTGTGTTGCCTTGACTGGGATTCGGGGATGTAAAAAATGGACTCACAGGCCAAGAAAAATTTTGAATTTGGATTTCGTAGGTGGTTTTTTTCTTGTTCTCTGTTTTACTCACGTTGGGGGCAGGAAGCTAAGACAACCCTTTAAGAGTCCAAAGTCAGCAAACCAGACCTTTTAAAGGCTATTACCTCTGGGAACGAGGTCCCCTTTTAGTAATATTTCCTCCTCCTTTCTGGCTACCGGGTCAGTTGATCTTTAGCCACCACATATCAGGGGGTGAAACTGGAGTTTATCTGGAGAGCCTTCATCATCCTGAGTTTTGAAAATAGGTTTGAAGGAGCAGAAGTCCTCTGAAATAGGTCCGAAATAGCTGAGGACAGCCTCCCTCTTTTTGAAAAGAGGGCAGGCTTGGGCTTGGTGCGTGAAGCCTTGTTTACCACCAGCCTTGGGGTTGTTCACACTTGGGTCCGTTGTTTGGGAGGGGTCGGGGAGTGAAGTGAGAAGGGTGGGGGGGGGTCAGAGGATCCCTGGTGTCCTGAGGAACCTTGAGGGGTCAGACCAGCAGGGTGGGACTCTGACCCTTGGGGGACTTGAAGACCAGCTGGAGGAAGGCTAAGATCATGCCCCACCTATGAATGTCCTGCGGGGTTGGCTGCTCACCCCCGGGGCTCCCTGTGAATCTGCCCGGTCGCTGGCCATAGTCATCACCACCCACCAAGGCAGTGTTGATGAAACTGGGAAGCTTCATCCTCAGGATCATTCTGGTTGGGGAGGTGACTGGACCACCTAAGGTCTGCCTCTTTTTTTTCAGCAAGACCTTGTTGAAATTGGAGGCAGTGTAGCCAGGGCCATTGGCTGGGAGACTCAAGTGGCTGTTCTGGGTCACCTGGTCCTGGCCCGCACTCTGTGATCTCTGTTGGGACAGACCACGGATGTCCATTCCCACACAAGGGCACCTCTTTCTGGGCAAAGAGCAGAGAGAAGAATGCACTTTGCAGGGAGAAATTTGCCAAGAAATAAGACTTTTCAAGAAATGAAAAGGCTTTGTGTCTTGATTAAGAGTGGTATCTCTCAGAAGCGTCCACGTATCACGATCACTTGAAAAGCTTTTCAAAATACCAGGAACAGGGCAAGAAAATTCATACTTTTCTCTTTCGCAGCCTGCCAAAGAGAATTTTATAATTGCCAGCTCTATTACCCCCTCTCTGAAAATGCTTCATCTTTCAGATCATTTGGGACCAGATTGAGAAAGTTGATTGGACCTTTTTTGCTGGCAAGAGAGGCCTAATTGATCTACATAATAAAAGGAAAAATAGATGAGGGGGTGGGGGATTGCTGAAGCTTGAGGATATTGTGGAGGGAGGTACCCTACAGAACGGGCAGAGGCTGTGAAGGAAGTAGATTGAAGATAAGGACTTTCCAACAGATAGTTGTAAACTGTGGATCACCCACGTGGTTTTCAAGATAAATGCAAGAAAAGATTTATCATTTGTTTTGTGCTTTAGTAACCACAACACGGCCCCCCCGAACAGACCACATAAATTCTGAGTGGACAAGGGTAACACTTATGTCTCTCTCCCCAATCCTTAGAGGGGGAGAGGGCTACTTCCAGCATGTAGATTTTGGTTCTGATATACTGTAGGTCATTCTGCCACGCACCCCTTCTCCACCCCAACCTCACTGAGAACCACTGACATAGAACTTCTTAGAAGCACCAACAACCTTGTAAGGGCCAAACTCTACAGCCATCAGGCCTTTCTCACTGAGCATCCTCCTGGTCCCCACCTCCCCCCCGTGCTTGTGTCAATGCTCCGCAGAAGCTCTGCGCACAGCTGGTTCTTCTTCCGTATTTCTGCAGGCTCTTCTATCTGCTTCTCTGAATCCTCCTTTGGTTTGCCTTCCTTCTGACTCCCAGGTATGGGCATGTCCACCAGATAACTCTCTTCAGCCCTCTCTTCTACATAGGGTTATTAGCCCAGAAATAGTTTGCCAGATTTAACAAATAAAAATATACTGTGCCCTGTTAAATTTGAATTTCAGATAAACAATGAAAAAATTTTAGTATTTTTATCTGGCAATCCTATCCAGAAGTAATGTATGATCTTACCACAAGTTCTTTTCTGTTTTCATTTTTCCTCTTCTTTTTATTTTTAGAACTTTGGTTTACACAGTGAATTTGAAAATCTATCAGTAAACACAAAAATCAAACATATTGACTGGGAGCATCATCTGTGCATGAATATTCAGAGGCTGACTCTGTTGATTGGCCTTGTTATGTATTCAGCATTTCTCGGTGACTCTAGGATGGAACTGTTCTCACACTGGAAGAACCACCCCAGAGAAAGCCTGGATCACACTCATTCATTAATTTATTCGGTCATCCAGCCACTCATTTTTTTTTTTTTTTTTTTTTGCAGTACGCGGGCCTCTCACCGTTGTGGCCTCTCCCGTTGCGGAGCACAGGCTCCGGACGCGCAGGCTCAGCGGCCATGGCTCACGGGCCCGGCTGCTCCGCGGCATGTGGGATCTTCCCGGACCGGGGCACGAACCCGTGTCCCCTGCGTCGGCAGGCGGACTCTCAACCACTGCGCCACCGGGGAAGCCCTCAGCCGCTCATTGATTTGGTGGAATTCAGCATGTTCTTCTCCATTTACAAGGTCAGGGTTTTTTTGGCAAGGGAAGTGGTAAATAGCTAAAGCTGACCCACATTTTCCCCTTTCCATTGGTTTGGTTTTCTTTCTTCACATAGAATCTAATCAGCCTAATTCTCACCTTGCTTCAGAAAGATTCTTGCAGGAAGGAAAATGAGTCCTGCCATCGTTACATAAATTCTCATGGGGCTCCCCTTTATAAGTTTATGACAGCCAGGAGTTGAGCCTGGAGCTCCGAGAGAAACAGCCATACACTGATTTATGATGGCCGCTGCTAAATCTCACCCCTCTTTCTTTCTTACAGCGCCATGTTACCTTGGGGTTACAAAACCCTTTTCACTGTTATTCGGGGGAATAATAATGAAGTCCCAGTTTGCAAGTATAAACATGATCATTCTTTGCCTATTATTGTAAATCAAATTTTACCTTTTGCATCAGAAGCGCAGAAAACGTTTTTATACTGTTAGCCACCGCAAGCCTCTCTACGAGTCTGTTTTTATATAACCCTGGGATGACCTGAGGTATTGTTTGAGCTACGCTGACCAGGGAAGCTGGCCACACAGGTAGTCTGGCTATTTCTCCTTACAGACCTGAGCACTTTGCATGAGCAAAGTGTAAACTTGATCTAAGCATAGCATTAGGGTTAGTAATGTGGGCTCAGGACTCCAATTGCCTGGGCTCAAAGCCTGGCTTTGTAATTTCCTATCTGTGTGACAGTGGCAAGCCACTTAACTTCTCTGTGATCAGTCTCTTTAGCCTTAAAATAGGGATGACGATGATGGTAATATGTTACAGGGTTACTGTTAGGTTTAGGTTAGTCAATACAGAACATTTAGAGTGGGGCATGGGACATGAGTAGCGCTCTAGTTGTTAATTATTTATAATTGCTTTTAGTGTAGTAGCTCTCAATTTTTTTTTGAGGATTAAGCCCCCGTTTTAAAGAAACACCAATTTTTCAGATTCCCAGGTGATAATGGTAAATTTTTTGAGATCTACAGAGTGAACAAATACATAACGACAGGAGACCAGCAGTGATACTTCTGTAATGAGGTGGGGCTCACCACTGTCCAGTCCTGTCCCAGAGTTGGGGCAGGGCTTTCCCTTCCACACTGCTGCCCCTCTCTACGTCAAGGCTTGTTTCAGGGGTGCTTGTGAGTGGTGGCCATTGAAAAGGAGGCTGTCCCCTCTGGGCAGGTGGGATGAGCTCAGCAAAGTCTCTGGACACCATTTGGATGCCAGTGATGGACGGGAAGCAGTGCAGTTCCTGATGGAAGCCTGCTGGTCCCTACAAGACCAGACATATTTTGTGACTTACTCCTGCATCTCTACCCAATGGCCTGGGTCTTGACCTCTGGCCTAGGTCACACACCCCATCCTCTCCTAGCCCTAGACTCCATCATCATCTAGTGTCCCTGGGGACGGGGTATGGCGTTGGGTCTCTTTCTCTCTCTCTTTGTATCTTCATTCTCACCTATCATGATGTCATAAACTGTAATCCTGACTTTCCTAGGGCCTCCCCTTTTAATTCTTAAAGCCAGAATGATTTTATTCTGTATTTCTGTTTCAACAAACCCTAGTTCTTTCACAGGCTCTAAGAGAGGGTCAGACTGATGCAGAATTGGTCCTGATACTATATGTCACCACTGAATGACACCGGTAAAATCATTTCACCCCTTAGTGCCTCAAGTTCCTGATTTGTGAAATGGGGAGATAAAATTACCTTGGTCATGGGGTCCTGGGTGTTTAAATGGGACAATGCGTGTAAAATGCTTAGCACAGTGAAGGGCTGGGCACGTGGGGATAGCTCAATTTAAAACCAAACGACATAACGCCAGTCACATAAAACCAAAGATACAAAAATGTTATTTTTATGGAGTCTAAAAAGAAAATTAAGTAGAAAACTCTCTTTATCCAATCCTGACCTCCAAACT